AATAGGCACGAAATGGTCGAGCTATTGGGAAATTTTATTATTAATTAAATTGTTTTATTTAATTCCACCACTTTGTACTTTTTGTATAACTGTTTAATTTCACCCTCTAGTACTTTTGGATTGAACTGTCGGCATTGCTGACTGGAGTTCAGAATCATATTCACCTACTTAACTTCTGAACCTTTATCGAGCCTGGGTGGATGCCATATCTAAATAAATATTGGAAACACCGCACCTCATTTTCATATAACCAAAACCATGCACGGGTATAAAAATAATTAATTAAACCCCATAACACTCTAGGGTATAAAATATAACCCTACCGTAACAGTGTTGTTCCAACAAATACGGAACTGCAACCAGGATTTGTTTTTGCATGTTAACAAGTAACAACCGAAAGTTGGTTCACAAAAGCTAGATGATGATTATGCATTGCTGGATATCAAGCGGGGACACATTTACTTTGGCGCATCGGTATACACCAATTTGAAGTTTCGATGTTTGGATCATATTTGCAGACAATGAGAACACACGACTGTGTCGAGGACATTCCAGTTGCAGTTTGTGTTTGAGATCCTTCCTCACAATTACCTGCTGAACACATTTTGGCCTTTTTTTAATATTATTGGATCCAACTACAATCGATTACATTTTGGATCGCAGTCCCACATACTCTTCGATTAGTTTAGAAGCACATTCGTCTTTGAACTTGACAACAGCCTTGTTGTCAGCGTCACTAAACAACGACTGTTCTTTTAGATACTCGCTAGTTGGTTTATCATACTTGGTTGTGCCATGTCCGCGTACACATCAATAATGGTGATATGCATCAATAGCGAGTCAGTGTTGATTTACAACATCTTGATCGTATTCTGATAAAACAGGTTGACCTTGTCATAGTATAATTTGTTCATTAGCAGCGTGGACACGTCCAGCACGGACGAAAAAGCATAGGTTGGTTTAGTCAACTTGAGTTTTATTTTTACTGTGAATGACAATATCCCCACCATCTAATATTTTTTCTCGATTAAATGGCAGTGTCAGCTTTGAGCCTTCGACGTTTGTCTTGCAAACTATCACGAACAAGATCGGACTAGTATTCATGAGTTTGAATAAAAAGCGATCTCAGTGTATCTTTTATATATTTTATAGTCCAATTATTTGTCAATTTTCTGGCACAGTTTTGAACTTCTATGAAATCCTTCAGCATACTTTGTGACTCAATAGTTTCCCTACTGCTTAACATTTATAAATAAACAGCTGATAGCATTTCTTTAATACAACATTCGTAACTCAAATAATATATTTCCCTCTTGGTCATTATAACTATATTGATACATAACTGTGAGGCTCCTGTAAACATTAATAAAGGCCTTTATGCTGTAGATTCATTCTGTGTGTGTGTGTTTGTGTGCGTGTGTGTGTAATGATCGATACCATATACTTGCCTCAAGTACTGGACTCTGTGGGATTTTTGTTTTTACAATCACAGCAGAGGAGAGTGAAAGACTAGTATTTTTACATTTTTAGAAACTGTTTTGGTCATTTCCATCCAAACAAGACTTTATCCTTCTCCCATGTCTGGCTCACTCATGTCACGTGTATGCGTGCACACAAGATTAACGTGCAGTGCTCAAATAGGCGCTAAATATATCAAGTGGACAAAGACGAGGACTGGTGGAAAGGTCACAAAGTGGCAAATGCCCTACTTCACCCCAATGCTATATTTTCATTCCAAGAGGTCCTTCTTATGTTAATGAGCATAAATTAAATTCCTGCTTTGTGGTACATATACGAGGATATATACATTATAGTAATGTGGGGATATAATTTATTGTCTCAGGTTAGATAATGTTTTGGAGAGGATAGATAACGATGCGAAAATATACCGTTTTACTCTATATCAAATTAGTATTAGTGGGTTGTTACACGGTACATCAACCCAAGTAGCTTATGTACCAGGAGTGAAATTGGAACAATGACTTGCCCAAGATGTCAAAGACACATCAAGAAAGTTGACTTTGGCTGATCTAATGGTATGATTTGAACCACACTCTTTTGGATATAAGTCCAACACGGTTAATAATGGACCCCGAGTGGTCTAAAGCGCTGTCCGTTACGGATCACTGCCATCTCACCTCTATCTGCGTGGGTTCGAGTCTAGGATTCGGCGAATGTGGACATTTGAGAAAGCTTGCCAGTAGCTTCTCGTGGGTCGGTGGTTCTTTCCGGTGATTTCCTGGTTTCTTCCTCCACCATTAATACTGGCCGCTATGAATAGCCTATTATGTGCTTAAAAATGGCGTTAAGCCCAACAACAAGGTAACCACTAGCATTCACGGTTCATAAAAGTTCATTGACTTTGTCACTTACCTTAGATGTGTTCAGCATGTATTGAAGTAAAAGAGTCTACACAACGGTATTGTGATGCATTTTACGATATTGCTACATTTTCCCGCTACAGATTGTCTTTGTCAACAGTTATTTCTAAAGACCATCGACGGCATGATGAAATGGGAAATGATTATATTTTATATGCAAGTGTATATAAATAAACAATTATAAAAGTATGTATGCATTATGTATTATATATCAGTACAGGATGATATCATACAATTCCCCAAGTTAAACAATTATTGTTAAATCTAAAAGAACTGTTATATCGTTTCTTTCCAAATTTAGTTTTGCTTAAGACATCGAAAGAGAAATGGATGGAGGTCATTTCTCTACGAGATACAATCGATTAAAGGACCGTAAGAACTGACTAAAATTTATCTTTATATTAATTATCCCGTTTTCAGAAATTTAGATAAAATTTTGAAGGATGATACATATAAAAGTTTTTACTTTAACATTTTAACTCAAGTAATTTAAGGGGACCCGGAGTGGCCGATTGGTCTAAAACACTGGCCGTTACGGATCAATGCCATCTTACCTCTGTCTGCGTGAGTTCGAGTCTAGGATTCGGCGAATGTGGATATGTGAGAAAGCTTGCCAGTAGCTTCTCGTGGGTTGGTGGTTCTTTCAATGATTTCCCGTTTTCTTCCTTCACCATTAATACTGGCCGCCATGAATAGCCTATCGTGTGCTGAAAAATGGCGTTAAGCCCAACAACAACAAGTAATTTAAAAGTGAGTGTTCATGCATTACCAATGACAATCAACCCTTTTTTCTCCATAGAGACTCACGAATTTAAAACTTTGTTACTTTCAGACAGCCTTAGTTGTGTCTATTTGGTTTTAGTAGTAAGCTATGGCCTGGCTGTGAATACAGTTGACACAGAATGCTACAAATATTAACTTAGGGAGTGTTGTGAATGGTAAGTTGTTTTGTACCAGATTGGTGATTATAATAACATGTACACACTCACTGCAACTAGTTTAAATTCAGATCCACCTTTGCACTAGGTACTTGTAAATGAAGATCTATTGATTTACTAGTCGATATAAAGCAAACCTTGTTCTGTATTATTGTACATCTTTGCACTCGAGCCAAACATTAAAATGATAGTTTAGACCAAACCTGAATGGTAAATAGGCGCAACTTAATCCAATGTTCAGATAATGTGTCATTCTAGCCATAATACAATTCTAAGAATGATAGGGACATCCCAATCGATACTGAGAAATCTCCAGTGTTACAAATAGATCTAAAAAATTCCGGTTACAATATAATGTGCACATTGATAACTTTACATATCTCACACATGTATATAAACCTTTTGTATCTACAAGTAAATTGCCAATACGTCAAATCGTCTCTCTCTCTCTCTCTCTCTCTCTCTCTCTCTCTCTCTCTCTCTCTCTCTCTCTCTCTCTCTCTCTCTCTCTCTCATGCAAATATGTTTATTATCCTGCCCATGCCCTCATGCCGAATTACTTAGTGCATAGTATGCATGCCGAATCGCATTATGACGTAATGAGTACTTAAAGTGACGCAACTCCTCTGACATCATTTGAAATACAACCGTCAAAGTTTACAATAAAGTTATGAAAATAAGTCATATTGTTTTGTTCCCAACCCCTATGGATGAAATTCTGATTGGTGTTGGACGTAGTGAAGGAATGAGATCAATAGGTATTTAAGAAAGCGTGACATTTGCCTCCTTTCTACATACATACATACATACATGCATACATACATACATGCATACATACATACATACATACATACATACATACATACATACATACATACATACATACATACATACATACATACATACATACATACATACATACATACATACATACATACATACATGCATACATTTTGTGATGTGTCGAATAAGCCAGCCAACACATTTCACATTCCCAGATAGCTTACAAACGAAACTGACAAAACTTAATCCATCCATTTCTAGATCACTAGCAAACCTGATAAGTTCATGTTCTTGTTGTTGTAGGGTTTAACGCCATTGTTCAGCACAAGATAGGCTATACATGGCGGCCAGTATTAATGGTGGAGAAAGAACCCTGGAAAACCCAGGGAAGAACCACCGACCCACGAGAAGCTAATGGCAGGCTTTCTCACTTACCCACGTTAATCGAGTCTGGACTCGAACTCACACAGACAGTAATTTGAAAAGAATGACATATTTATACTGTGTCTATTTATTTCCTGTATGTTGTTAGCCTCTTTAAAGGAATATGAGGTACACTCAGTTTTGACTAAGAAGTATCGAAAGTTAGGGACCAACTATTTGATGGTCAGAAAAAGATATAAATATTTCTCCTTCATCTCAAGATGGTGTTGTGGTGTTGGTGTTTGTATAATTTTTAACTTAGCTTTAACAATTTGTCAGTCATATCGCAACGATGTCTGCAGTGTGGCAGTTTATAGTGATGTCTAGCACTGGGGCATTATGCCGCAGACATGTAGCATGATGTCCCACCCAGTCACATTATCCTGACACCAGGCCAACCAGTCCTAACACTAACCTCTTAATGCTGAGCATCAAGCGAGGCAGCTGTTAGTAGCATTTTTGTAAGTCGTTGGCATGCCTCGACCGGGAAAAGAACTCACGAGCTCCCGCATCCGAAGCTGACGCTCTAACCACTAGGCCACCGGAGCGGTTCATCTCAAGATAAAATGTATGCAAATTTACCCTTACTCTGATTGTGAAAAATTTAAATTCTTTATATTTTGTATTCATCTCAAGATAAAAAGTATACAAAATATAAAGATTTAAATTTTTCACAAATCAGAGCAAGAGTACTTTTTCTTAAGCTATTTAGAGTCACATCCTCTCTTCACCCAAATATACCAAGCCCTCGCAGAAGTAAATGGTCAATCCCCGACAATACTAATGTTTTGTTTCTGCAAAATCATTATAATGATTATGATTATGACGATGATAATAATGATGATGACAAAATCAAATTGTAATAATGTTGTGCAGGTTATTCTGTCGACTCGTCCTTCTATACTTTCGCAACGAAGTGGCCATGTTTATTCTCCGCTATATTGAAGATTGTCTGGTGCCTCTTAAATACCATGATGTAACTCGATGAGGTCACGACATATATTACTAAATCACCCATACCATATCATCGCTGAAATACATGCCTATAGAAATAATGTTGCATAAATATAAAGAACTAGATCGAGATAAAGGTGTAACCTATTAAACAATGTTTTTTTAAAAAAAAAAGTTCCTTTTTTTAAAGCAGATTTTAAACTCTAATAGGGCTTTAGGAAATTAAACTAGATAGGACTACAGTAAATCAAACTCGTATAGGACTGGAACATAATGCTGAAAGAAATATCATAATTATTCCCGCACAATCATTTGCAATACATCCACAGGCATTCTGTCTATGGTGTTGTCATGATGATGATTAAAACTCCAGTTTTAAGAACCGAGAACTTGTACATATAAAATAACAAAACCTTTAATGAGAAATATAATTAGTGACACAATATGTCACGGCACCTACCTTGATCATCTTACATAACTGACTTCCATCACGTTTCCATCCTTCTATTAGAGTTTCCAGTAAGTTCAGTATTAAGTCATAGTCTTATATATCAAATCAAATTAATCTTTTCAACTTACGAGTCATTTCAGGAAGAAAAAAATCTCCCTAACCTGCCGTCGTCATCTTGTCAAATCTATCTCGAAGACGGGTTCATACTATTCTCAGCGATACTAACCAACGATCGACTTAACACAGAATAAAAGTTGTGGACAAGTCTACAGTTACCTACCAGGAATTACATTAAATACCTACCAGGAATTACATTAAATACAATTGCACTAAATATAGCACTCTGTATAACTATATATTTATTCTAGAAACTATACTGGGATATTTCTTCATTAATGACTCGGCATTTTCAGAAAGGAATGGCTAAGGAGAGTAATCTTTAATTAGAAATCACTAAATTTTGCTGACCTGTACTACACATGCGCACATGCATGTTTGTACAAGTTTTAGCATGGCTTAACTGGATGGGGTTGGTGTGGGGTTTAGGTTTGGTGTGTTTGTTGTTTGTTTTTTTTTTGCGGTGTAGTTGGTTGGTTGTTGGTTTTGTTTCTATAAATTTATTTCTCCTTACGTGAATAGCAGATGTGACGACATATTGCTAAAATTAAATGGTCCTCATCTCCGTCACAGTGGGATAAAAATAGGTACAATTTACACCGACATATGTCATTTCAATAAAAAGGCACTTCTAAATTTGAAACCAACATGCGAAGAATAAACAGAAGTGAATATGCAGGATCAAGCAGAGGCCCCAACGCAATGACATTTAGACAAATGCTAATAACTGACGATCGCATTTCACCTAGATCTTCCGAAAATTAAGTTTTATACGGAATTAGATTACGTCAATTTTCATTCTGTAAATGTTATTCAATTTGTGATGAGGAGGCAAACTTTAGTCAAACCGTGAACGTATATCTTTATGATATTTTGATTTTGTTTGTTTTTATTCGGGGGTCTTTTTTCGTTTGAAACAAGCCTCATCCTTCAAGATCTCCTATATATAGTCTGCCACTATTTTGGTGATAATATAGCTCTAAACATGATATTGAAGGGAAATGGAACTTGCATTGAACAAGGGTAGTAACTCGTCATGGTCGAACTAGCCAAGTTTAATGATCATCTCCATTATCAGTCATATTATCATTCCAAGAAGTCCTTTAAATTTTTATGTACTATTACTATATTTTTCCTACTGCAGGTAGTCTTTGTCGGCAAAGACTATCTAATGCATGATAAAATGACACATGGTTATGTTTTATGTCAGCTTCTATAAATTAAAAGTTTTAAAAGTAACTATGTAATTTCCTTCAACACTGGATGATATTATACAATCATAGTGTTAAACATTATTGTTAGGTCTTTTAGAAACGTTATATCGTTTCTTTTTATCTTGTTTATTATTTCCAAATTAATTTTCCTTAACACAGATCGATCGAAAGATGAATTGATGAAATTTATTTATGAATTAAAGATGAATAAATCAAAAAAAATATTGACTAACAGTAATGATTTACTCTTTTTATTTATCTGCATTTAAAATACTATACAAACTTTTGAGGAATGATAGTTATGCTAAACATATCAGAAGCTTTTAATTTAAAATATTCAAGCTCAAATAATTTATGAGTGAGCATTGGGGCAGTACCAATGGCAAAAGACCCCTTTTCCATATATAAGTAAGAGTCAGAAATTTAAAAATATGTCGCTTCCAGACTGCTATAGTCTTGTGTATTTCGTTTTATTAGTCATAGATAGTCTTGCTGAGAAAAAAATAAAAAGAATCAGAATGTTACAAATATTGACCTAGCTTGTATGGTGAGTGTTAAATCGTTTTCTCTCCAGAATGGAGATTAATAAAAAGTGTACAAAATATCTGCAACCACTGAAAATGTAAATTTGCCTTTGCGAAGGATTTGAAAACAGATATAAATCAAATCCTGTTTTTTACTACAGTATATCCTTACTCTCAAGTCCTACATTGAAAGCATTAGGTAATTTGTCCTTGCAGCCACCATAACGTGTGAGAATTACAATGACTTGCTAATCGATACCGATAAATTTCAACTGTTAGAAATCGATCGATAAAGTCAATTTACAAGATATTGTGCACCTAAGCAGCTTTACGTATTTCACCCAAGTAGATAAAACTTTAGTAGCATCAATCAATTGCCATTCGATCACCATATGTAATTTTTTTTAGTACCTTCTTCTCTCTCTCTCTCTCTCTCTCTCTCTCTCTCTCTCTCTCTCTCTCTCTCTCTCTCTCTCTCTCTCTCTCTCTCTCTCTCTCTCTCTCTCTCTCTCTCTCTCAGTAGTTACCAATAATAACATAAAGAATCTAAATAGTGATCAATTGTGTATGAGCTGTGTTTGCATACAAAACAAAAACTGGGTGTTGGATGGTAAAGTGTGTGTTCGGGATTGTAATCAAAATGCGTTTGCTGAAGCGTACTCCAAACGTTTGTGCTGCATAATATCTAAAAATATTGACATTATCAGTAAGTGCCCATAAATATTTGAACAGGGAAAATGTCTATAACAACACAAAGTTACAAATATTTTTTTACCGTTGGTGCTATAAGCCTTTATGTCTCCATTAACATCTCTGTCCAGATCAAAATATTTTCCTTGCAATAACATCCCCATATTAAACCTTTAGGATTTCTACATACATACATACATGTTTGTACAAGTTTTAGCATGGCTTAACTGGATGGGGTTGGTGTGGGGTTTAGGTTTGGTGTGTTTGTTGTTTGGTTTTCTTGCGGTGTAGTTGGTTGGTTGTTGGTTTAACTATCATTCCTCAAAAGTTTGTATAGTATTTTAAATGCAGATAAATAAAAAGAGTAAATCATTACTGTTAGTCAATATTTTTTTTATTTATTCATCTTTAATTCATAAATAAATTTCATCAATTCATCTTTCGATCGATCTGTGTTAAGGAAAATTAATTTGGAAATAATAAACAAGATAAAAAGAAACGATATAACGTTTCTAAAAGACCTAACAATAATGTTTAACACTATGATTGTATAATATCATCCAGTGTTGAAGGAAATTACATAGCCAATAGTGGCGTCTATTGAGTAAAACTTCAACAATGTTATCAACGATGTCTATATTAAACTTGCACACTTTCCTACCAATCCAATGGTAGATCAAAATTTTTATTTCCCCACAATTTCTTCTCCATTTCTTAATGTTTATTACCAGTAAACAATTAAAGGAAAACAATCTCCAGTTCGTTCATGTGCCATTTACTCGAGGACCTGGGTTCGAAACTCCGTAGAGTACGAATTTAATTTCTCTAACCTGTATGATGGTATTGCTTGTATTAAACTATTAATTTCTACCCGCTATTATCAAGATTCTACCACAGAATCCAGGGATAGCACAGTCTGTTCTGCCTGGTATATATTTATAATTCTTTGTAATAAAAAAAAAATTCTATATACCTTGATTTCTTTCATAGGAATCTGGAACGACTGTGTATATATATATGAGAATTATTTACTAGGTCGTCATGCTAGTGTGCCTGCTACGCACGAGCTCATATAACACCGACACGGTGCCATCATTTATTGGTGATGCGTGCTTAATCGTGACGGAATATGGGCTGGTGCGTGCAGGCAAGGCGATGGGTGCCATTTACTTGCGGACCTGGGTTCGAAACTCCGTAGAACACAAATTTAATTTCTCTAACCTGTATGATAGCATGAAATATATATATATATATATATATATATATATATATATATATATATATATATATATATATATATATATATATATATATATATATATATATATATATATATATATATATATTCATTCTAATCTAACCTTAATACTAGATATATTTACCGGATATATTTCATTTTAACTAGTGGGTCAGACACGAGTTAGAATAGAATACAATTTTTTGCACCGTACTATGAATAAATAGGTATTTTGGACATAATCAAAACTTACTCCTGAACCGATATTTAGAAGATTAAACTCCATATAAGCTTTTCTGTATCTGTGTCGCTTTACAACATAAAGTAAAATGTCGATTTTCCGTAATTTTTTCACCATGGG